CTTATTCTAGAACACTTAGATCTATGTAATCAGGTACATTTTCACCAAGGTTTCTTCAACGTAGGAATTCCCTTCGTATCTTCAGATCGACGACTCTTCCAGGCATGCTATCATCTATCCAGAGCAAAAGATAAGACAAGTGATCCATTGGACATAGATGTAGCTCTGACATTCTTTGAAATCTGACTTCACCTTCATAGTCAAGGAATATAACTCCTAACTCAGGTTTAAAATGCACAAAGTTGGGTGTATAGGGACCCTTATYTGGCAAGTCAAGATTCAGCATAGAAATGTCAGTACTCATATGACCCTTCAGGACTTCATCTAAGGAGAACTTTGTTTCATGTTCRTTCCTTAGGAAYGGTCCATCATTAGGATCARAGAGCTTTAGTTTCTTCTTCCCACCTTTCTTCAGAGTTGGCCGGTCAGGGACCTTGACATACCTATACATCCTTTTGATGAGCTCGTTGATGGTGTCCTCGATAAGTGTCTTGTGTCTCGACTTGGATTGCTGAATGGCTTGTCTGATCTCCATCCATTCGCTGTATCCATAGCGGCCAAGGTAGGAAGGGTACTCGGTAACGGCATCAAGATTGTCCCTGGTGATGAGCATTGAGACCAGTGTTCCACCGTCTTTAGATCGTCCGCTGATGCTGACGTTGATGATTGGGCAGGGACTGAGTCTCTTTTTCAGTTTTGCTTCGCTCCATAGCTTATCCTTGTCCTCTAGCTTCTGCTTCTTCTTGCGTTAAGCTTCTGCCAATGAAAGAAGTTTAGCTTGGGCTTGGACAACATTCACCGTTTTCTTAGACTTTTTCTTGGGAAGGACTTTAGCAGCTAGTGACTTGGCCAACTTTAAGCTGTCTTTAGTCTGCTTCTTTTGAAACTCTAGCTCTTCTTCAGCCCTTAATGCCTCGAGTCTTTCAGCTTCAGATAGGAAGTCAAACTCACCACCACTAGAGGTACGAAGAGGAATTTTTACTCTAGTCTGGTCGAGCGACTCCTTAAGCTGAGACATCTACTGGTTTGTTGGAGCAAAAGAGCTGGGTTGATCAGATACCCACTCCAGTCGACTGCAACTTGTTGAAGGGATATGAAGTTGATACTCTAAAGTGATCACTACCTGAGAGGTAGAGTCTTCAAATAAGGTTTGTTGAGGGCCTAAGAAAAGTACCTTCAGGTTACCTTCTTCAGCGACCGCCTTGCCTTTCGACTTGGGGTCCTGGTGCCCTGATGGAGTCGATTCACCTTGTCTTTGCTCCCCCTGGGATTGAGCTTCCCTGAGGGCAACACCTTTGGTGACGGTTGATGGCTTCTGGAACTTGATGGTAAAGTCATCTTCATCATCATCATCATCGTCATCACCATCTAAATCATCTCCGGTGTCTGGAATGACAGGTTCGTCATCGTCTTCATCATCATCTTCTTCATCCTCATCAACATCATCATCATCACCAGCAGCAGTGATGGTATGGACATCATCCCTAAGGATGGCTTCGTCAACCTCATCTAGAGCAACTTTGGTGGACGTGATTACAGGAGCAGCAACAACTTCAGCTTCGAGAGCCTCGGCTGCTTCAACTGCAACTGAAGCTGATACTTGACCAACAACCTGAGAAGTTGTAGGAGCAGCATCAAATGATCCACCAGCGTTGGACCTCATCTCCCCCTCTCTGGCTAAGACTCTAGAGAATTGGCCAAAGTGTTCGTCCAAGCGCTGTCGCTGGAGAACCATGGATTCCTCCAGCCTTTACAAAGCATTGGCTAGAGTTGTCGTTGCCTCACGCGTCTCATGGAGTTGGGTGCGATCATCAACAGAGAAGGAAGGAGTAATCACTGGAGCTGGTTGACGGATAGCATCCAGGATTTGTTGAAGAAGACCAAGCCGCTAATCAGCTATCACCTGAGCATCATCAGCCCTGCTGTGAAGAACAGCAATGGCATCGTTGTTGGCATGAACAACTTCTTGGAGAGTCTGGAGCTGACTCTGAACTTCTTGAACGTCCGCCTAGAGGGCAAGGAAGTTCGCATCAAGATCGCCTTGGCGAGACATCTCTTGGTGAACATCGTTGACCCTGGAGAGGACGGTATCAACGGCTGGAAGGAGAAGTTTGATATCTGATGCCATATCATAGTCATTATCGACATCCTCATCTCCTCCATCATCTTTCTCTCTTTCTCCCTCTTCCATTTCTTGAGCATCAGGTTGATGCATCAAAGAAGGACCTACAAAAGAAGAAGTGTGAGCTAAAGGYTCAAGGTTAGAAGAAATGAAGGGGGTAGGAAGATGGAATACCTGAGGGGCCTTCAGTGACATTAAAAGAAGTATCAATGGTGGGAGCAAAGATATCCTTGAGAGGATG